CAACAAATCCAGATTATATCAGATTTTAATACCTCTCTCTCAATAACTGATAGAACAAGTAGACAGAAAATAAGCAAAAGACAGTATACTTAACACTATCAACCAACATGTTTATGAAACACCTCACTCAACATTAAAATACACATTCATTTCAAGTGTACTTAAAATTTTACCAATATACTCAATATCCTGAATATTAAACAAGTCTCAATAAATATTAAATGTTTCAAGCCATAAAAAGCATATTTTTGACTATATGGAATCTAACTAGAAATCAATAACAAGAAGATATTTGCAAAATCATGAAACTGGAAAAATTTATGAAATATTTGGGAACTTAATAATGCTTCCAAATTACCCAAGAAACAAAGAGGAAATATTTTGAATAGAATGAAAATGAACATACATTTCAAAATGTGTGGGATGCAACTAGGTAGTACTTAGAGGGAAAATTTTAATATTAAATATCTATGTCAGCTGGGCACAGTGGCACTCCCCTATAATCCCAGCAGCTCAGGAGGTTGAGTCAGGAGGATTATGAGTTTAAAGCCAGCCTCAGCAAAATCGAGGTGTTAAGCAACTCAATGAGGCCCTGTCTCTAAATAGAACTCAAAATAGGGCTGGGGATGTTGCTCAGTGGTTGAGTGCCCCTGAATTCAATCCCTGGTACCCCCCGCCCCAGTAAAATATCTATGTCAAAAGAGAAAAAGTTATCAAATCAATGTTCTCAACTTCCAACTAAAAAATTTTAAAAAGAAAGAAAAGCAATATCCCTGAAACAAACAGAGGTAGGTATAGATTGGAATGGGAATCAATGAAATAGAAGGCAAACAAAAAATAGATAAAATCAATGAAGGCAAACACTAGTTCTTGGCAAAACTCAATAAAACTGCTAAATCTAACAAAAGCAAGCAGGAAAAAGAGAACACACAAAGGATCATACCATGAACAAGAAAAGGTGACAGTAGAGAGTCTACAGCGAATAAAAGGATATTAAGAGAATTTTATATGGGCAGATTCCTTGGAAGACACAAACTACTCAAGTATACTCAGAAGAAATAAACAGAATAGTCTGATATCTATTTAAAAAGAGTTTGTAGTTTAAATATTTCCTACTATCATACATAGATGAGATATAATTTCTCATTTTTCTGAGTGTACATGTTGCAGAATAATATTGATCATGTGGTCACATACATACATAGAGTAATAATGTCTGTTTCATTCTACTATCTTTCCTATCCCATCACTTTCCTCTATCTAATCTAAGGTAATGCTACTCTTCCCTAGTGCCCCCCATTCCACCTTATTGTGAATTATCATCCGCAAATTAGAGAAAACATTCAGCCTTCAGTTTTGTGGGATTGGCTTATTTCACTTAGCATGATATTCTTCAACTCCAACCATATCCTGGAAAATGCCACAATCTCACTCTACTTTAAAGCTGAGTAATATACTCTATTGAGTATATTCTGCTATCATGTATAACCAATTAAAATAAAGAAAAAAATTTTTTAAATTACCCACAAAGAAACTCCTGGCTCAGATAACCTTAGTGGTCAACTTTATAAAACATTTAAGGAAAAGTAATATTACTTCTATGCAAATTCTTCTAGAAAATAAAATAAAATATATTTTATGAGATAAGCATTACCCTCATACCAAAGTAAAAAAAAAAATTATAAGAAAAGAAGACTATAGACCAATACTCTTTACAAACGTAGACACAAAAACTTGAAATGAAATTTTAGCAATATGAATTCAACAATATATTAAAGGGATAAATATTACGGCCAAATAAGGGTTATTCTAAGAGTACAAAGCTGCTTTAAGATTAAAAAAAAGATTATAATCTAAATAGATGCATAAAAACTATTGACAATACCCAACATCTAGGTTTAATATTCATCATCACAGATAATATGTCCTGGATAACAATTCTGTCACTCCATGATCAAAACTTTCCCAGGGGTGGGGGACATTTCACAAAATTCAAAAGGAGATCAGTACCTTAGAGGAAAGGGACAGGGGGAAGGAGGAGAGAGAGAAAGGGGACATACTAGGGAATGATATTGGCCAAATTATATTGCTATAATGTGTGCATGTACAAAATGTAGTGACAAATCACACCATTTTGTATACCCATAATGCACCAGTAAAAATAATTGAAAAAAGCTGCACGCTGTGGCACACCTATAATCCTAGTGGTTTGAGAGACTGAGACAGGAGGATCACATGTTCAAAGCCAGCCTCAGCAAAAAGTGAGGCTCTAAGCAACTCAGTGAAACCCTGCCTCTAAATAAAATACAAAATAGGACTGGGGATGTTGCTCAATGGTTGGGTGCCCCTAAGGAGTTCAATCCCTGGTAACACCCACCCCCCAAATAATAATAATGGAGGAAAAAAAAAACTTTCCAGATTTCCCATCGTGAAATCCAAATTCTTAAATCAGGAATTCAAGATACACTATAATCTCTTTCACGCTGAATCAAGCTCTTGTCCCAGGAGCAGTAGCAGTGAAACATGTCCAGATGGGCTGGCATGCACAGGAACCCAGCATCATTGACCATTACCTGCTGCTGCCCCTAACTAATGTGAGCAGGTATACCAGGTGCCATGCGTCCACATGGGCCATAGTCATGCAAAGCCTGCAGTGCATGCACCAGCGTGAGGCAGAGTGAGGCTTAGGCCCCTGTGGATGCCCTACTCCCATACCACACAGTGGCATGGCCTGTAATTCCTAGCATCCAGGATCCACTGATCTCAAACTCCTGGGAAGCTGAGATTGCAAATGAGCCTCAAGAAAACAGAAGTGGGGCAGACCTGAATGGAAGTTCAGACTCAAGGGTTGTTGGTACTTTTCCAAATCTTGATTAGCATAATTTTGGACCAATAGCATTAATATTTTTTAAAACCCTGATTTGCATGAATTTGGACCAATAGCATTGACCCAACTGCCATATAAACCTGTAGACTAGCATGCTCCAGTGGCAACCTGCTATCAGTTCCCCTCTTTTACTGTGAGAATTCACTTTCTATTCTTGAATAAATCCTACTCCTTTCACTTTTGCTTTCAGTTGTTCCTGAAATTTAGGAGACAAGAACTTGGAAAGAACTCGGCAGTGAGCTGTTGTGACCATGTTCTCTATTAAGAGCTTCAACATGTTTTTTTTTTTTGGCTGTGGAGACCTGCTGCTTATGCAGATCTCTCCTACCAGGCACAGGGACAAAAATCCTGCTTTCAACACTAGAACCTTTCTATCATACTTCTTTATGCACAGACTGATGTGACCACACTGTACAATTCTTTGTACCTGATCCTTACCTTTCTGCCTCTTTAGCTTTCTGCTTCTCCTTTGCTCTAGGCTTTTGGTTCTCAATCCTGACTGTGCATTAGAATCATCGTGGCATTAAAACACATAACAGTTGCCCAATTCTACCCCAAGAGATGTTGGGGTCAGGACAAGAAAAGCATCCCAGGTGACCATACTGAGTATTGAAAACCAATAGTACAGAATGTTCTCACATACTCCAAATTTGTATATCCCAAACTGACCTATCTTTCTTTTAAATTAGTGCATTATAATTACACATAATAGTGGTGTTTGTTGTGACATGCGTATCCGCACATAGCATAATTGGCTCCAGCAGTTCAATGTCTAGTACCATCCCTTTACCTTTCCTCCTTCCTTCCGCTGATCCCTTTCCTCTACTCGACTGATCTTCCTTTTGTTTATTCTTAATTGGTGCATTACACATGAAAGAAGGATTCGCTGTAATATATTCTTTCACGGATTTAGCATAATTTGGTCTATTTCATTTTGCAGTTCCTTCTCTTTCCCTCCACCTCGATCCCCTTTCACTACTCTAATGACTAGCCTGTCTTTCAAAGTGTAGTCTAAATTATAGCTCCTTCACATCATCTTCCCAGATCATCCTGCCCTGCAAGCAAGCTCTCTTTTAAATGCCTGGGTATCTGTGTTACTTGCCTCTCTTATCCTCATTTGCAGGTCTTCCTAGACTCCTTGAAATCATATTTGTAAGTCTTTGACAAATGTTTTTGCCCCAAATAGTTCATTATCTTTAACATAGTTCCAAATAGTTCATTATTTTTAACATGGTTGGTATTGAGTGAGTGATCTGATGAAGTGTTTTTAGACAGTTGAGGAAACTCATTGGTTTTTTTCCAATCCCAGTTGGCATTAGAATGCTTGTGATTTTTAGGAAACAAGGGGTAAGAAGAAAAAAAAATTCCTTCATAACTGACACTCAACTCTGCCTACAATTTCTTTTAGCTCTTGAACACCCTATGCCAACATGAGTTCACTACTAACATTTAACAGTTCAATCTGTTGTTTATGTAAGTAAGGAAGGAAGAGTTAGGTAAATAAGTAGATGAGTCAGCTCCTTCTTTTAGTCCTAATATCAACTTTCTTCCTGATAAATTCTTTTTGCTATAGATACTGACACTGTAATGATGGATCAAGGAGGTAAAAATTAATCTCTCTTCTGTCTTGAATTCAAGAGTCTACTAGGGAAAAAAACATTAAAACTATCTGAATGATTCACCAACAATGAAAAAAAATCATTGAATAATGGGGTATGGACTTTGTAGGGATTATATAGTGCTATATTCTCTGGCTTTTTGTTTTCTTTGTACCAGGGATTGAATTCGGGAGCACTCCACTACTGAGCCACATCCCCATCCCTATTTTGTAATTTATTTAGAGACAGAGTCTCATTGAATTGCTAAGGGCCTTGCCATTGTTGAGGCTGGCTTTGAACTCATGATCCTCCTGACTCAGCCTCCTGAGCCACTTCTCTGGCACTTTTACTTCTCTAGAATGTTAACATCAATTGCTTTTAATTATATTTCAATGACTTGTTTGGAGTTTTAGAAGAAGTCATAGATCAGAACTAACAATAGATCAGAACTCTTTTTGCTACTGATCAGTCCTCCCTTCGAAGAGAATATCAAACAATTCAAATAGAGTCTGTACCTGCACATAGAGGTCCCAACTTCTTCAAGAATCATAGAAAAGCGTTTGAAAATATCTCTGGTGTGGTGTGAATTGTCAAGAAATTTATTGGAATCTCGAAACAAAGAAAGGAAGTAATCCTCTCCTTCACCAATCACAGATGATTGGGATTCAAAGTTTGACAGCCCCTTTTTCTTGGGAAATAGGAAGGAGTTGATTTCTTTCAAAGAATCTAGAGAAGTAAATGAGAGAGAAGTCAATAAGTGAATATTCAAAGAATCCTGAGGCATTGTCTTTACTCCTTACTTCTACAAAACTATATATTTTTTTTCTATATTTTACTGTCACCATTAAACTCAGAATAATTATCAGCTTTTGAATGGTCATTTTCAGCAATCATAAACTATTTAACTGATTAGGTTGTTAGAAACATCATCAGTTTTTGGTAGGTAAAGCATTTGAGTCTGTAAAATTTAGATATGTTATGTACATTATAGTCATATTCTATTTTGTGTTTTCTATGCTACACAAATTATTACCCATAAATTAAAGCCTCAAATAAGTCCTTCTCTGCCAATGCTTAGTCCTTTTCCCAGATAAAAACTTAAACTTTGTCCATCAACTAAAATATGTATTTTATAAGAAAAATAATATTGAATCAGGTTCTAGAATCTTTGAGATGTTTTCTTTTTTGAAATTTTCTGCAGAGAATTGCTGACAGAAATTCCCTACAATTATGTCCCAGCCATGTCACTTATCAGGACAATGGGTTTGGACTTTCCAAGTTTCAGTTTTCTTGAACATAAAAAAGGAGAAGTGAGGACTGGAGATAAAGCAGGTAAGTGTCTGGCACAGTGTTTAGGATTTAGCAGGTACTTGAAAAATGATTGTTGTTATATTGTAAAGGATTATGGTTAGTGTGGCCCTGGGTCCAGAATCCTCAAAGGATTAAAATAATTTAGGTTTTGTTTTAGATTCATATGTCCTTAACAAGAACAAAGGAAAGTAAAAGACATAAAGGGATAAAATCATAGGTTGTATTTATTTGTTTTGGTGCTGTGCTGGGAATTGAATCCAGGTTCTTAAACATGTTAAGCACATGCTCTATCACTGAGCCACACCTCTTGCCCATAATTACTAAAAAGGATTCTTTACAAAGTATTTTGTTGAAAAGAGTTCCTTTTCAGTCAAACAAATATTTAATCACTAAATTCCACTGGGAAAGGATAATATATGGCATTCTTCTTAACAGCTCATCCTGGTTGATGAACTACCAAAGGAAGAAAACCTCAATTTTGCTCCCAGTTGCTATTTCATCTAGAACCACAGGTGACATTGCAACAAGTTCCAGTGGACCCGACCACATCCCAATTCATCTCTCGCCTTGCAAAGGGAAGCCACAAATTTTTGTCACACTCCACCCATTGTGAAAAGCATTTACAGTTGAACCCAAATACAGAGCATCTTCCATGATATAATATATCATGACAAGGGATGGAGAATCTTCCCTTCCTAGATCTAAAATTTGTATTTGCATTTTAAGCCTATGGGTGTTGGTTATTACACTGATGTTCTGTGTAAAGTTAAGAGGCTTCTTTGGAAAGTTTATCTTAGTTATACAAACAAGGAAACATGGGAAGATGACTACAATGGCAGTAGGAAAAAAAAACCCTGCATAAAACTGTGTCAAAGGTTTAGGAAAATACCAGAAGCAAAATTAAATATAGATGAGATGCTGCCAGACTGGAAATGTTCACAAAATGGGAGAGGAAATGGAGACATCAGATATACCCTTGGGAGTGTTTGTGCTACCAGTTTTGAAACTTGTTGTGGATTGCTAATGAAGAAGATTACCATTAAATAGGGATGAGAAGTGGGAGGGAAAGGGAGAGAGAAGGGAAATTGCATGGAAATGGAAGGAGACCCTCATTGTCATACAAAATTACATATAAGAGGAAGTGAGGGGAAAGGGGAAAAAAACGAGAGAGAGAAATGAATTACAGTAGATGGGGTAGAGAGAGAAGATGGGAGGGGAGGGAAGGGGAGGGGAGGTGGGATAGTAGGGAATATGAAAGTCAGAAAAATACAACAGACACTAGTAAGGCAGTATGTATAAACGTGGATGTGTAACCAATGTGATTCTGCAATCTGTACATGTGGTAAAAATGGGAGTTCATAACCCACTTGAATCAAATGTGTGAAATATGATATGTCAAGAGCTTTGTAATGTTTTGAACAACTAATAAAAAAATAAAATAAATAAATAAAACATATAGGAAAAAAACATAAACACAGAACCTAATAAACAACATTGTAAAATAAGGTGTTACAGGTATGTTAAAATTCACATATAAGTCTTATTGGTACTTACTATGTGCTAGATTATGCATTAGGTGATTTTTATATGTATTTCTCCTAATCCTTACATTAATCCTGTGATGTTTATACTGTAATCCCTATTCTAGTTATGGAAAATAAAACCCAGAGTTGCTATGCTTTACATTGTTGAGGGTAGGAAAAGAGTTGGTCCTGTGTTTCCAGAGATAGGATGCTTTCTGTAAACCATGGAAGATTCCTCAAACTGGTGAGGAGCAATACCCCTAGAGTTTGAGTACTGCTGAGCATCTTGTGGACAACTGTCAAAACTACCTCTGACTATCACAGTATTAGCTACATCTTCTTCTCCTTCAGATTCTCTATTGCTTCCCCCCACCCCTTTGCTCTTTGCCATGTTATTATTTGCTTTTTATTTTTTCCTTTTCTTATTTGTCTATTCCTTATTTGAGCCATAAGTCTCCTAAAGGCACAAACTACTCAAGATTTTTTGCTTAATCTTTCTGGCAGCATTCAGGGGAAGAACCATTAACACTTTACATTGCAACATTTAATTCACTAGCAATTCAACCCAGACAACCCACAAACCTCATGGTTACTCCTGATATCTTAATCACGGGAGGATGTATTTGGGGATATGCATTTACGTGGCCTGAATTTAAGACTGCAGTTCTAGAGTCAATGATGACCGTAGTCAAGTTACTCTGCATATGACAGGGGAAATTATTATTATTGGGGACAAATAGTAAAACACCATTCTGGATGGGAGGCACCTAATGAGTCTAATGAAAAACATACTTTAAAAATAGTATATATTTTTTTTACTTACCCATGTTATCTTCTTGGGAAAAGCTGATTACAGTAGATTTAGAAGCCATTGGTCCCATCATGGATGTGTTTACTCCACTAATCTGAGAACTAGACACATAGTAACTGAGAGGAACTTCATTGGATAATGACCGTGACAATAGCTGTGTTGTAGTATCTGAATCTGTGGTATTTGATAAAAACTGTATTGAAGAATGCTGTTTTATTAGAGTAGTTTTAAGTTTGTCTTCTTTTCTGTGTACAAAAATTATAATAAAAAGGTAAGAAACTCAAAATGTCCATGAATTCAAGATACATGGGCTGTCATTTTGATCCAAAGCTCTGCTTTTCAAAGGTATTATCACCTAAATGCACAATACAAATATACATCTTATATTTATTACTTTTTTCTATTTAAATATCAATTAATTCCTATTGTAGATGGTTTTTAAAATGTGTAAAACAGGAAGAGGAAAATAATAATCACTACAATGCCAGTAACCAGAGATTTCATCATTTCCTTCCAGGCTTTGGAATACACATTTTACTCAAAATTGAAACTGTATAAACCACTTATATGGGTATAAACAACTTCTATGGATTAATTTATCATGTTTTCTCTTTTCAGTTACCTTAAAAATATCATAATTTCTGTGATTGCGTATTATAACTTTCCCCTTTAATTCCTGTTGTTGCCTAACTAATTTTCCTATATTAACATAGACTTTACCTTTAAGATCTGCATTCAAATAAACTGTGTGTGTGTGTGTGTGCACACCTTGGACAGAATGGCAGAAAAGAGGGAAAAGAATGACACTTTTCAGGTACTATTATAATAAGTGAGTTTTACTGTAAACAAGAATTTTTTCCCTTTCTTTTTCATGAATATAAAAGCATTTGTTGACTCTCACAATCATTTGAATGAGGTCCTAAAATACTATTATCTTACAAGTTAAGCAATACTATCATGATATGGCTCATGAAAAGGCTTACAATGACTCCATTTGATGGGTCACATGGATGCTCTTCCCAGTGACTTCAAAGCAATTCATGTGTGTGTGCACGCTTGTACTTAACGCATATATTGAGAACAAAGGTCTTAAGGTCCAAAACCCTTCCTAGTTCTGAAGTCTTGGAAAAATGGCCCGTTCAGCCATCTTCCTTTCGGCAGCTGCACATCTATTCAATATAAGTCAGGAGTTAAGTATTTTGCTTTGTGGATTATCTCTGTTTTAATCTGTCTTCCAGAGTACTTGCACAGTTATCATAGCCAGTCTCTGGCTGGTTGGTTTCTTTACAATGGTTCTCCAAGGGATGAGTGCCTGGAGCTTCTGTTGCTGCCATCTTGCTGATGTCCTCCTGGTGTTTACCAAGAGGCAGACACAATCATCTTGTTCTTCCATTCGGAAGTTCCCTCATCAGAAACAGTATATCCAGAGAGCTTTACATTCACAACTAGACTGTCCTAAACATATCTCTCTTAGAAGGCAAGGCCATCTCAGGCAAATTTTGTAAAAAGTTAAGGGTCATTGGCTTTAAAAATTGCAGTGTTACTAGTTCCTTGCTCAGTGAGCTTAAGTACTTGCCATGCAGGAGACACCTCAGGCATTCACATTTGTCAGAAAAGCTCTGACCCCTGACTGCATTATGACTCTGAAGCTTGTGGAGAGGAGACAACAGAGGTACACTGTCAAATCACAAATATTTCATCTGTGTCCAGCCTGAGAGAGGATCATGTGACATGATTTCTCCCTCACACTGTCTGGAATATACAGGGAAAGTGTTTTTCTCTTTCAACATTCCTTACATCTGGGTTTCATTATATACTGGCTACATCTTTTCAGCATGCTCATTTTTCAAGCTCCCATTTTTTTTTCCTTAAGTAAAACAATAGCATTTCCAAATAAATTTAATTCCACAAAATATTCCCAATAAGTCTTTGCAAATGTTGCAATCAGAGAAATCTGGCTCAGGGACACCAGTTGTTATTTTTGTAGTTGAATAAGAAATGTCTGACAACTGCACACATCTTAGAAAGAGCTTGAATACTTCAAGAACTGATTCATATGACACAGCTCATGTCAGAACCACCTACTCACCTACCTATTACAGTCTCTTTGGAAGACCAGAGATTTTTCTTAGCTCTCAGTTAGCTTTCCCTTTAACGTAAGGAAGTTTCCAAGCCCCTTCTTGGTGTTTTGCTCTCTCTGTAGTTGAAAGGCACTAAACTAGGGCAATTACATATCAATTCCAGCAGTTCAATGTTACTTTGGGAGATGCTACTTTGGTAACAATGGTGACAATGGTTTCTTGCCTCTAAAAACAAATATTAAAAAACACACTTGGACTGAAGAGTCAACACAGGACATCTAGGTCCAAATAATAAACAGTTTAAATTGTGCATACTCCAACAGCCAAATTTAGTTTTTAGAAAACCAACACTAATGCTTTTTTTTGGTAAAATGGCTTATATCAGCAATAAAAACAATAATTTTTATGCAACATCCTCATAATTGTATAATTTTATGTAACATCCTCACGGACATCTCTAAAACCAAGATTCTAATGTTTTTATCTCTAGGTTAGTCAACTAGTTCTAAAGAAATTGTGTCCACGGCCTTAGCACACTCACTGGAAACTTCGGACCTCAATCAGGTAGAAACGTGTGAATTTTTACACTAATCAAGGACTGGAATATTATAAAACAGTGGCTGGGGAAAGAGTTGTATACTGTAGTTTATTATTTTTAGAAAATTTGTGGGATCTATTCTTGTTCTAACTTCATGTTTTTAAACAACAAAATTCAAATAGTCCATCAATATCTTTCTAAAACTCATTCTCTGCCCCCATTTATGCCATTCTTACTTCTCTTCTTTCTCCATTTTATCTTCCTGCCTTTGAACTTCTCTATTCAGGGCCTCTGAAGCCTCCTGAATGCTTTGTGGGTCTTTCATCTTGGAAAGAGTTCACTTTTCTTTCCTAGAAAAAAAATAGATCGTGGGAATTAGCAATGAATATAGCTAAACTTTAGGGAAGATTTTCTTGAAAATGACCCACCTATTAATCCAACTATCTTCAATTTACTAGATTTAATGATTTCTTTACCACACTGGTGCCCAAAACTGAATTTTCATGTGAATTTGTAAGTACTGACATAGCCAATACTTTAACTAGTCAAGGATACAGGACAAACCCTCAGTGAAGGTAGGTAGCAGTCACTGGAAGCTTAGCCCTGCAAAGAGACCTTTATGACAACCACTTTCACATCTGGCCAACACTGCCTCTTAGAACACTATGAGGTAATGTCTCCATAGTTACAAAGTTTCAGCCTTTGAACAATTACTGTGTTGGTGCTGCACCTGCTTTGCAGTTTCAGACATTAAATAATGTAACTTACTTTTGGGAGAACCACTTCTCCCACCAGACAGACTTTGACACTGAAATGTTTAATATCCTATTTTGGATTTTTGAGGGTCAAGGCCAGTATATAAATATTGAGGGGATTTATTATAATTCCTCCCTTCCTTTCTTTCTTTGACAAATACTTTGAGGATAGAGAAACAGGCAGCAAGGACAGAAAACATCATTTTAAGACAAAAAGAAACCTATTTGATTGAAATAGTAAAACCAAAGCCAGAAAACCTAAATTATTCTAGTAACACCAGAATGATTTAGAAGAAATCAGTAATTCAGTTTCTACTATGTAAAAGACCCACACTTAATGTTTCATGATAATGAGGTTGTGAGAAAAAGATTAACATATGAAAGTCCATGATTCTACACAGAAGCAAGATATATTAATGATGATGATTAATGGATGAGAGAATTCACTCAACAAATATTTAATGATCATTAACTATGTATCAGGAATCAGAAACTGGCTGAGTACTATTAATAATTTTTGATTTAGGGAATAATGAAAATATATCTTCTAACCCAGATTTGAAAATGACTTCTATCTTGAAATGATGAACAATATTTAAATACAAAGGACAACGAGTAAAGTAACCACTTTAATAAGTTGAGATCAAAAAACAAGATGTATATTAGCTAATAAGACAAAAAAGAGGAAAACACACATTTAACTATATTTTTTCTATCTTAGAAATAAAGCAAGTACTAATCAGGATTGTGGGTCAGTTATGCAAAAAATAATTAGGAGATTTGTAAATTACAATTATGCTTAGAAAAAATTAAAAATGGATTTATAATTTCTTGCCTAGTTTTCCTATTTACCAGTATGGATGAAGTCATTATGACTACATTTGTTTTCTCAGAGAAACTATTTATATTTTTCAACAAAATTTGGAGAAAAGAAATTCTGCCAACTGAGAAAAACTTTCAAAAAGTTTAAATTCGTGAATGTTTGAATATTCATTCCCCATACCCATACAGTATATTTTCCTTATTTCCTCTCCTCAACTTACTGCATATGTGCAGCAAGAACCAATTTCCTTTTTTACTGCTGCTGAAACTAATCTAGTGGTTTTCAACAGGGGCAAAGTGAACCACAGGGAGCATTTTGTAAATATGGAGGACACTGATAGCAGTCCTAACGATATGGGTTGGATGCTAGTGGCATTTAGAGGACAGGAGCCAGAAATACTAGACTTTCTGCAATTTGGCCGATAATCCTACTTGGCAAAGAATTTCCCACATACCTCTTGACTTGCTAGATATTCACACAGGTGGAAAATAGACTATTAATTATATAGGTCTAGTGTCACATTGCATATCAACATAAAATATTTTGCACACTTCTAATATATACTAGTTTCCAGGAAATAACTATTTATTATTTACATGGAGGGAAGGTTACATACTGATTGACTCAGTCCTTTCCCAATAGTTGCTATCGGTTTGGGGAAATTATATCATTAACGGCAATACCGTGTGATAGCAGGCTGATATAACTTGCCTGACACAGGTAATAACAGCAACAAAATCAACCTGAGTCTAATGAATCCTCTAACTTGCATATAATAGAGGACAGGAGAGCATGTTAGCTAAGAGATCAAGAGATTTCAGACAATTTTTGTAACTTGTGAGTAAAAGTTACATGCTAATTCAAGCAAACTGCAAAAAATGTATGACAGTGGAAAGTTAAGCACACTAGGTACTTAATGGACGTCAAGGAATAACTTAAGTAATTTAGATGTGATATTATGGTTATATTTTTTGAAGTTCTTATTTTTTAGAGATACTAAAACATTATAGGTAAAATGATATGATGTCTGGATTTGCTTCATATTAATGCAGGAAATAGAGAGCAAATGAGGATATAGACAAAAAAGATGCACCACGACTTGTAATTGTTGAATCTGGATAAGAGTTGTATTATGTATAATGACTATATATACATATATATACACAAACACATAAATATGAATATATACATATATATACATATGTATACATGCATCTTCTTTGCTGTAAATGTTTGAGAGTTTCTAGATGAAAAGGCTAAAAATGGAAAGATCAGTTGGGAGGCAGAGGGTTCAAACACCAAAAGCCTCATTGTTGTGGCTGTCTCTAGCTCAGGAAGGACAGGGCCAAGCAGGAGACCAAAGAGCAGACCTGCTGCTTATGCAGTGTGATAGTCGTCACACAGTTCTAGAAGGTGGGTATTTCTCCACTTTCTGAAGGAGAAAATGGACGTTGAGAGAGAGGAAATGCCTCTCCCAAGGGTATCTGGCCAGTAAGTATCAGAGCAGGATTTAGTGTCACTCCTTTGTGAATAAAGACACCTTTACTACACTGGCTGCTTTTGGTTTAGTTCCCACTTTTCTTCGTAAAGTGTTTCATGGTCATTGCCTAAACACTCACCCATTGCTGGCCAACTTTATACTGTTCTTGCTTTCTTCACTGGTCTCAGAGCACTCCCTCCTCTGTCTTTCTAGCCCCATGTCAATTCTCTTTGGCCATACTCCCTCTCTTGGGAAGATACCAGAATTTTTCCTGGGGTATAGAAGCCCTTTAAGAATATACATATTACAGGTTAAAATAGGAAGATGAAAGCTGAGTTTCTTACCATGAACTTTTTACTTTATTAAGCAAAAATTAAAAGTGGAAAATTTTCGTATTCTGCAATTTAAATAAAAGTCAAAATATTGCATATACCCAATTTTGAAAGAGTTGAAGAACACAAAAAGCAGGCTTTATACATTTTAGTCTTCTTTCTCCACATATGGAGAACATTTGCACAGCAGGGGATTTTTTATTAAATTGGGAATATAAATAAAATGTCTTAAATGAATGAAGGCTGTATTCAGAAAGAGAATTTTCCTTTCTTCCCTGGCCATGGGTAATATGCAGTTAAGTAACATACAGTCGAGGATTACAGTAAAAAATATAACATGTTCTTTATCTAAGATTCAGAATTTGGAATACAATTGTAGAAATTCAATTTCATATTTGCACCTACAAAAAGATAGTATAAATCCCTATTATAAAGCATCTTGTTAATCTAAAAATGTGCTGGGTAAATTAACTTCTTTCATACAGATCCACATGTAAATAATTCAGTCTCAAACATAGATGCTGTTATTTTGCCTTGAAGGCAGGGTCAAATTAAGGGCTGACTGGAGGTGTTCAAAGAGAAGCTAAAGGACCATTTGTAGGGAGATTCAAGTTTCGAATAGTTTGTTTAAATAATCATCATGGGCCTTCCCAATAACAAAGTTCTATTGCAAAACAACAGTAAGACCTTAGATCTGCATTTGTGATCCTACGAATGAAACATGGTTTGAATCCTCAGACATTCATATCAATTTCAGCAATGTTTATAACTTCATAGTTACTGGACACAGGTTAATGTATCTTAATATTATCCTTTATTCATAAATCTCTTCTATTCATGCTCTTTAGAGGAATATGATCCTTATTTTTCTAAGACGGGGAAACTAAGACTTGTTCAGGAGACAGAGATCTAGAATACTCGATCTTACTGATCTTATTTCAGAACACTGTGTTCTTTGTGGGATATTTTAAAAATACAAATCAGTATCTTTTTAATTTTGCCTATTCAGTATTTTTATATGCTTTTACTAGCAAAAGAAATCAACCTTACATTATTTGAATACCATATTAACTCATAACTACCAATCTACAACTTCAAAGCAAAATAAAACACCCAACAAACTGTTGAACCACGACCAAATGGTTGGTTTTGAATTTTTCCACTGATATGAACTTACAATTTCATTTTCTTCTGTCATCTGTTGGCAACCTCTAGCAGAAAAGTTGTATCTAAAGCCAAAGACTCGAAATAAGTTATTGGAAGAAAATTTGAATTGAGGAAATTCTATCCATTAAACATTTTTTTTTCTGTTTGCAATCAAGACAAAGGTTGTCATTATACAATATTATAGCTAAGTGCTGACTCTGTCAGCATGAGACACCAGTGCTCCATAGAAA